GTACGGAACGACGCCTCCGTCGCAAGGAGAGCGCCTCAAGGAGAGCTCATGGAGGGAGCAATAAGCCCCTGCCGAGACCGAGGCCGACCGTGATCCCAAAAAGATGCCCCTGCAGGAGGCAAAGCTCTGGGGGGCCCGAGCTGCGCCGAAATGCAAGATGTGCCAGAGGACGCCCTCGCCTCCCCAGCCCCCTCCTCCCGCGCCCCAACTGTTCCCATCCCTCCCCCCGTTCCCCCTGCCCCCTTGCCCCCCTGACTCCGTCCCGTCCGCCTCTCGCCTCCCGCCCCCCCTGCCTCCCCGCCTCTACGCGTAATTAACTCCCCAATTCCCCCCCACGCCCTCCGTCCCTCTCTCACAGCCCCCCTGCACTTCCTCATCCCTCCCCCCTCCACCTTAGCCCCACGACTCCATCCCGTCCCGTCACTCTCTCGCCTCACCCCCAACCCTGGGCTTCCTCTCTCGGCTGGCCCGCCCGAAACGAGGATGAAAAGACTGGGCGGGCGATGCCCGACAGCAGATGCTATCCTGAACCGACAGCGGCCGCTCTCGGGCAGGTGACAATCGTCCCAGATGGACGTCTGCGGCGGCACAGACAACCATCCCTTTCAGAATTGGTAGGAACTGCTCATAGTCCTCCTGACTCACCCTCGTCAGCCCTCCAACCCTCCCCCTGACACCCGCATGCAAGCGCAGGCACTGCCGTCTTTTTGTTTGGCTCCGCGCATCCGAACGGGCCACGATGGGAACGCCTGCTGGGCCGCCCTGGCATCCAGGATGGCGAACTCACCGGACTCCAGACTGGACAGATCATTGGACCACCGTCCGCTGGAAAGACTCGCGAGCTGAGGTGGGCGGAAGAATGCTCACCACCAACGCCTAGGCGAAGAAGAGAAAAGGGGTCATGAACGCCGATTGAGGATCGACGATTTTTACCTTTCGGGGGGGGGCATCTGCGCAGAGATCCGACGCCTTGATTTTTCCAATACTGGGTCGCCACAAGACCTGGCCCATTCCCTGGGGTCGACTGTTCGTCCTAACTCATTTCTTGACGGTCCTGGGGCCCCGCGAGGGACCCGAGTGCCATTTTTCCAGGCAGGTCTGAGCCGGATCGAGCCGCCGAATCGGATCGGAAACGGATCGGACCGCCAACGCATCGTCCAGGATCGATCGCTGCGCCCAGCTTCGGCTGGCCCTGGCCCCGCATCGAAACCGCCAGCCCAGCCGGAGAATCTAACTCGCATCGGATCGGGTCGCAGGCCGCCCTGCCAGGACGCTGGATGCCTGGGTCGCCGAGGGGCTCCGCGCGGCTCGGAGCGCTGGCCAGGCCGGCCCCCTGGGAGAGGGATTCCGGGGACCGATCCGTGAGCGGAGGCTGGCCGAAGGGGCCCGGCGCACGACGGCTCGGCGACCTCCCCGGCGCGCAAACGCTGAGATTTTTCGGGTCGCTTCGGCCCTCCGGGGCCAGTGGTCGGACCCTGGGACTATCGGAAAACGATCCCCCAGGGAAGAGGTCGGGGGCCTCGGGGCCGCGGGTTGCACAGAATCATGTCGGGGGATGTCTGGGTCTTGGGGTCCTCGAACGGTGCGGCGACAGACCGTGCGGTGACCTCGAAATCCCCAAGGAGCAGTCCGCACCCCGAATCCCCACTAACTCACCACACGGTCCCAAACGTCCGCCGATTGCGTTTTTCCCATCCAGAGGCCGCGACCGCTTCCCGGTCTCCGGGCAAAACGGGCCTCGGGCGGGGAAATCCTCAAACACGCCCCGCTGGTAAACGGCACTTCGCCGGAGAAGGTCGGGCGAGGTCACAGCACCGTCTGGGTGCCCCCCGACGCTCAATCAGCGGCTCACGCGGGCCGCCGCCGGCGGAGGGGGGGAGGGGGGGGGGGCGCCGCACGCGACCTCCCGCGCACAGCGGAGAGGAGGAGGAGGAGGAGGAGGAGGAGGAGGAGGAGGAGGAGGCGGAGGCGGAGGAGGAGGGGGAGCCCGCCCCTGGGAGGGGCTCGCGCTGCTGCCCGCGGGGCGAGGGCCGTGCGGCGTGCTCCGCGCAGGCGCGCAGGCCCGCGGGGCCCCGCAGGGTGGGCCCCTCCAGGGGCCCAGGCTCAGGTCGGGCCTGTCCTCCCACAGGCGGACTCTGGACGAAACACACCAACGACCCAACAGATGCCCAAAAATAGTCACCAGAAAACATCGTCCCCAGACGATGTGTTTCAACTGTCTTTGAACATTCCTCCTGGAGAGGGGCGCGCCCGATGGAAGCCCAGGCCACCGACGCCGCGGGTCCTCGTCGCGGCGCGGGCCCCCCCGGAGCTCCGCATACCCGCGGGCCGCCGCGGGCCTCTCTCCCGGACGGCCACGCAGGTGGCCCGAGGCCTGCCCCCTATACAGGAGCCTGCGCCCCCCCCTCTCGCGGGCCTCCGCGGCCCCGGCTGCTCCGCGGCAGGAGCCCCCCGGAGCTCCCGAGAGCTGGTGCCCGAGCCGTGCCGAGGCCGTCCCGAGGCCACTCCAAGAGACTGCCCGAGAGGCTCGTGGACGCCACGCAAGACAATCTGGACACCTTCACAATCCGATCGTTGAATCAAACAGGTATCTAGCATGTTTGGAAAACGTTCTAGCAGTGTCTGAAGCATGATTGTTGCGTGATTCTGACATGCTTGAGACATGTTTTAGACATCTGGAAATGGTTTGGCAACGTGCGTCCTCTCCATCGACCGTCGTCCGCAACGAGAAGCCACTCCGCGGCAGCCCGAGGCCACGTGGGCGGCGAAAGGACAGGAGGCCCCCGACGGCGGCGCCGCCGGAAAAACGCTCCTGGGGCGAGGTGGGCCGTCAGGCCCCGGCCGGCGACGACTGCAAGCCAACCTCGGACTCGCCCCTGTCCCGAAGACTGCCGAGCCCGAGGGTGAGGACAACCGCAGGGATGTGCCCTCGGCGACCGAGGGTCGCCGTCGAGAGAAGGCAATACCAATCGTGTGGACGGGGATGCGCTCCGGGCTGGTGCGGAACGGGCGACTGGGGGTCGATGCATCCCCCCCCCCGGAGCCTATCCCCCCCGGTGCTGCCCGACGTCTGGCTTTCGGGTCACAACTCGGGTCTCTGGCGCGGGCACCCCGGAACTCCTCTCGGCCAGGCGCAGCTGCTTGAGAGCACCCCAGTGCTGGGAAGGCAGCCCAAGACGGGCGAAAGCTTCAGCAGACCTTCCCCCCCCCCGAGCCCTGCCCCCGCAAGCGCTGCCCCTGAGATCCCCCCCTGTCTCGTCCGACGCGACAGCCCGTGCGCGGGCCGCAACTCCACAGGCCTCTCCCGGGGTGCACTACAGCCAAAGCTTCGAGGAGAATCCGGCCGTCCCGACGAGAGCTGGACACAGAAGGATATGCTGGTACTGTGTGCTTCTGTTGGAGGCGCCCGTCCGAAGCGAACACACGGTACAAAGATCCCGAGGCGTGTCGTTTCTCGAGCGGTATGGCCAGAAAGCGCCCGCCACCGAGCAGACGCCGGGAGGTTTCTCGGCGCGAGCGTCGCCCCTTGGCGGGGGGGGGGGCGACGCAAACTCAGTGTTAGCATGTTGGGGTGGCGCCGAAGTGGGACGGCTGGGCCTGGGACAGGAGAGCATCCTCCAAGAGAATGAGACCCGCCGCTGGCCACACTGAAGGGCATTCGAGGGTACCCTCCCCGGGGAGTGACGATAAGATCCAGCAAGCACAAAAACATTCAACTACCCTCCCCAAACCGACCTCGATTGTAGACCTCGGTCCGACCGTATCGCTACCTTTCCCTCCTCCAGCTCTCGCCCGACCCACCTGCAGGCCGCGCGCGGGCCGCTCGGGTTCCCCCCCCCAAGCTGAAGGGGGACCACGACCAAGACTGGACGCGGAGACGTCGTGCCGATCTCGGTCACCGTCGATCTTGGTCAGCGTAATTTCGTGGACCACCCTCGCGAATCCGCGACGGTCGACCTGGACCATAACCGAGATTGGCATCGACGAGGCCCCACGACATTGGAGGAACATGCAACTGCATTGACAGAAACTTTTGGATGTTCGCACGGGTTTCTTGGATCTGCGCTGAACCCCTCTCCCTGGCGCGTGGAGCGCGCAAGGGGCGGCGCTGAAGGCGCCGCCAGGGGCGCCCAGTGTTCATTCAAGCGATCTGCGCGGAGCTCTGGATCTTTCTAACATTTATGCAGGCTGTTATTTTCGACATATCTTGGTCATGGTCCCCTTGTTTCTCCCCCTCGCTGGGTCATGCGAATCGACGATAATCGAAGCCGATCAACGCTAAACCGATGCTCATCGATGATAACCGACGCTGGTCGATGCTAAAGCTGCGCTATCTCATCGATTGATCGATTGCTAGACGTAGATCGACGCGTATATGCGCCAACGACGGGATTACAGGGTACACACGCCCCCATGAGTTGTTCAGTAGGGCTGGGGGGTCAGGTCTGCAGAACACCCCACACGGACGTCAAGGGGCGCAACCAACCTGATCGGTCAAGCTGAACTTGATGCACCACACCCGGCGTCAAGCTAAAACTTTGGACATAAACAAACGGTTGCATTTTGTGCATCGTCGTCGGCTTAACCGGCGAAGCGTTTGACCACTGGACGCCCTTTTTTTCGGTCCTGCAGAGGAAGGCGCTCTCTGCCCTCGCGCCTTGCAGGATCCTGCAACATCCTGCAAGATCCTGCACCCAGACCCGGGTCAGTGCGACCCTAGCCCTGCAGGATCCTGCAAGATCCAGCGCTCTGGCTGACCCCCGCTTGCATTGACCTCATGAGGGGCAACGAAAGGGAGGGGGGGGGCTGGCACAGGGGGGGATGCATCGACCTGCAATCGGCGATACATCGCCGACAGATCGGCGACAGGCCACCGATCGTGAACCCGCACCTTCCTGGGCTGGCTGGGGCTCCCGGGCCCCCATCGGCGATCGTTGGGCGAGTGGGGGTCGATGCCTCCCCATCCTGTGCCTGCCCCCCCCCCGTCGTTGCCCCTGACCTCCCTCTCTTGAGCCCCGACCCCAGGCGCGCCCTGGCGCCCGGCGCGCCCTGGCGCCCCGCCCCCGCGCGCCCGCGACGCTCACCGCGGCCGCGGGGGCGGCGGAGGAGCACCCTCTCGACCTCCCCGGCAGGCGCGCCCCCGCTGCTCTGAGGGGGTCGGGGAGGGAGGCTCGAGGCCCCGAGGTCCGAGGAGGCAGGCTCGAGGCTCGAGGCTCGAGGCTCGAGGCTCGAGGCTCGAGGAAGGAGGGTCGAGGATCGGGGAGGGAGGTTCGACGGTGGAGGAGCGAGAAGGGAGGTTCGAGGGTCAAGGATCGAGGATCGAGGTTCGAGGACCGAGATCCGAGGGAGGACCGACGGGGTCAGGGGTCCAAAGCAGTGCGGTGACAGGTCGTGCAGAGACCTCGAAATCCAGAAACATATCCCCTGGGGTCCGAGCCGCGTGTGTTTCCCACCACGGGCGGTTTTGCCCTAGTTCGCCCCACCCACCCACCCCCTCACGGATCGAATCGGCTCGAAAACTGCCGCAGAGAGATGGGGCCCATGGCTCCTGTCGAGTACTTCTACGACGCTTCATTTGTTCACAACGGCGAATCTCAGGGAGCAGTGCGATGACAGACTGGGCGGCAACCTGGAACTCCCGAAAGACCTCACCGCACGGTACGTCGCCGCACAGTGTGGAAGGCTGTCGGAAGGCCGGCGGAAACAGCAGTCGGCGGAGGAGGAGGAGGAGGAGGAGGAGGAGGAAGAGGAGAAGGAGGAGGAGGAGGAGAGGGAGAAAATGAGGATGAGCTGGCGGCGATCGGCGGTGGGCTCGCTGGATCTTCGGGGGGTCGAGCAACTGGCCACTCGCTGATCCCGTTCCAGGCAAGGGAGGACGCAGCTCCGAGGCTCGAGCCGATCTGCGATGCACATCGGGTTGGCGAGTGTGGGGAGCCACACGGGTGGCCGCCAGGATATGGGAGGGGGAAAACGCAAAGCAAACAACAAGATAGCCGCCCAGGACCCCCACTTGCGGGGCGGGGATGGATCCATGTTCACCGCCTGTGGAAACCGACGTCCTGCGACCCCAGCGGGCGGTGGATATGGAGAGACTTGGGCCCCAGAGGGCCCGAATGCATCCATGTCCACCGCCCGTCGAGGCCTCCGACAATCGATCCTCCAGGCCGTGGACACGCAGAAATCCCCGCCTCGGACCACTGGCTCCTGGCACGATCGCCGCACGCGCCTCCTGGAGAGGGGGCACCCGACGCTCGGCACGCTCCCTGGCGACGCCGCGCCACTGCCGGCGGGTTAAACCCTAAACCCTAAACCCTAAACCCTAAACCCTAAACCCTAAACCCTAAACCCTAAACCCTAAACCCTAAACCCTAACCGTGCGGCCTCCCCCTCTGAGCATCGCTGCACCGGGCCCTGCCCCCACGGGCCTGGCCTGGGCCCCACTGGCCGAGGGGCCCCCAGAGGGGGACGCAGGAGGCTCCCTGCGGGCTTCGAGGAGCACATCTGGGGAAAAGAAGAATGACATAGACATAGAAACTCAGAAGTCCGCGCGGATTTCTCGGATCGGCGCTGGACCCCCCTCCCGGCTCCCTGGCGCGCGGAGCGCGCCAGAGGCGACGCCAGAGGCGCCGCCAGGCGTCGCCAGCTGCGATCCGAGACATCCGCTCTGACCGCCGAGTTTGTATGCTTATGTCATTGTTCGCTCACCTAGATACCCACTGGGGGTGGTGGGATGGTGGGGCTCAGGATGGGGATGGGGATGGTGAGGCTCGGGATCGGCCAAACGATACTGACGCCCCCCACCTCATCGCGGCGTGAAGCAGTCGGGGCAGGAGGCTGTTGGCCACCTGCGGCCACCGCGGGCCCTCGCCGAACCCCCAGGGGGCAGTCAAAAAAAAGGACTCGGGACGAAAAGCTGGTCCCGGGGGAGAAATCCAGACCTCCGGCGGGCGGGTCCACGCTGCGGAAAGAGACGGCGTCGGAGTTCGGGGTCTGAGGCCGAGCTCGACTTCAGAGTCCTACGTACTCTTCATAATCGAAAGGTTGAACTGCGTGCTCCTCAAAGCTGGATCAAACCTGCGAAGCACGCAGGAAGCTCCAAGAAACCGCAGTGCTCTCAGGCCTCCTAGGAGCCCCCCCCCTCCCCGCCAAAAAACGAACAGGTCTCGAACGTCGAAGGTGAAATCCGCATCCCAACGGGAGCGACGGCCACGTCTGCACCGTCCCTCGCGCTCTCTGGCTTGCCGCTCCCTATCTGGGGGGCGCAAACAGTGAGTGGGGGTCCAACAACAAGCGGTGTCCAAAAACTGCAGCGGCCGCTGTCTGGGAGACGACGCTCGGCTCCAAACGAACATCGCCCGCGGCAGCACCAGCACCAGGGCCTCGTAGCAGTGGGCAAGACATGCAGACTGGCGTTGTCTCCTATCTTCCCGCACCAATCTCGATCCTTAGTACAGTCATCGTGCGAATGACCACGAGGAGCAACAAAGAAAGAGCGAATGGACCTTCTCTGGCCACGGCGAGCCTCGGCCACGGATGGGCTCCCCGACCAAGATCAAACGAAAGGCCCGGGTACCAGAGCCCCTCATGAACCCAAAACGAACTACAGGGCGTTTTTGTTTAACCATCGGATTTCAAACATACAGGATGTTTACTCCATGCTTAACGTATGAGTAAGTTTGTGCATGAACTCATCGTTGTTTTTAATTCGAAATCCCTGCATTTTAGTACATGATCCGCACGCGGAGCACTGCAATTCTAATTCAGCGTCATGACAGCACGAATAATGAGTCGATGTCCACTACCAGGAATAAAACGTTACCCCAAACCGACAGCGGCGGCCGCTGGGCAGGCGACGCTCATCCGAAACGGATAATCGTCCGCGGCGGTGCCGACAGCGAGTCCTGCTAAGAGTGGACAAAATCTGCAGTGGGTCTTCGATTCGCCCGCAGTCTTTCCGCACCAATTTCAATGGCACCACGAAAAGACATCGGCATGAAAGAAGCGGGTCCTGAGGGAAACGGGCCCTGGACCCCAGGGTCTCCCGAACAAGCCAACTCTTCATCCTGTATAGTTTTGTTACGGAGCAATGGGCCCCAGGGAAGACCCCAAAAACTGGAAAATTGCGAATGAAACCTCCAAGACCGGCTTCCCCCTCTCAAGGCCCAATTGCTCGACCCAGACATCCTCCACTCAAATTTTTCAATCAGCGGCACCAGACCTCCAAGCCGCTCCCCAGGAACAATTTTGCGTCCCGGCTTCATGTTTGATGGCCCCGGGGCCCGATAAACGCCCACCGAAGCCAAAATAGACGAAGAACGCCACGATTATTTCTTCTGTTCCCTGGGAGTCTACGAAGCCCCCTGCGCTGTCCGATGTGGACCTGATTTGAACTGGATGCGTAACAGATTCGGAGCCAGATTTGGACGGGATACCAGGAAGACGAGAAGATCGAGGGGGAGGAGCAGTAGGAAGGGCAAGGAAGCGCAAGAGGAAGGACCGAATGCAGTCCAAATTCGGCGTCGCCGCCCAAGGCCTCATGAAGAGACATCGAAGGTGACCAAAAATCTAGTATCGTCAAAGCGGGCACGGCGGAAGATGGAGGCGAGGAGGAGGAAGGACGAGGAGGAAGAAGAGGAGGAGGATGAGGAGGAAGAGGAGGGGGGGGAGGAGGAGGAGAAAAAGGAGGAGAAGGAAAAGGACAAGAAAAATGAGGAGGAGGAGGAGGAGGAGGAGGAGGAAAGGACGACAGGCGGAGGAGGAGGAGGAGGAGGACAGGAGGAGGAGAAGAGGAGGAGCATTAAGCATTAAGCAGCTATGGCGGGAACCAGGCAGTCGCCTGGCCGCTCGCATCACATCAGCCAAAAGGGAAAACATTCCCGACTTTGGGGGAAGCCCCCGACTGAGCCTCCCGAGGGCCTCCCGTCCTTTGGCAGTGGGGCCCGAAGGGAGACACTCAAACTTGCGGTTCCGAGCGCGATTGGCCCCAAACGAACCACACTCCTCGCAGAAAAGCATTATGGCCAAAGTACGGAGCTAATGGGAGGGGTGGCAGACAGGGGCAAGGAGGTGGGAAGAGACATCCCTGCAGCCCCTCCCTTCTCCCAGCCAGACTCGGCCTGCGCCGTCAGGCTCAACGGGATGCCCGAATAGTTATCGCTGGCACGGCTAAGGCCTGAAAAGAAAGAGGGGTCCTCGGATACCAAACTTAACAGAACAACTACTACACTTGATCAGGGCCTTCAGAACGACAGGGCTGCGCTGCAGCTCGCGCGCCCGCCCAAAACGCGTGCGCAAGCTGCTCGCGGGGCCACGCGCGCTAGTGCTCGTGCCCGACGCGCACATGCTCACGCTCGCACGTCAAGAGCAAATCCATCTGGATGGCCAAAATCCTAAACAAAATATCACAATGGAGTGCATCCCCCTGGTGGGCGCGGCTGACCAGCTCGGCTGGTAACGCCACTCTTTTGGCCGCGTCGGCTGCCAACCCATCTGCCACAGCAGTCAACAACCGATCGATACGAGTGAGCGCCAACAGTTCAAGTTGAAAGGCCGCGGGACGAGACGTCGCCCACCTCAAATCAGCAACTCACCCCCTGGAGCCCAGGGCCCCCCACTCCGCACATAAATCCACTTGAACAAACTTTCGCATCAACGCCTAGGCCCCCGAAAGCCTCTGACCACAGGCGGGCAATCCGAAAAAACAAGACTTTGCCGGCGGCACGCTTCAGCATCAAGATGAGGGCCACAAGCCCGGCCCCCGGGAAGCACTGCTGCTCGCCAGAGAGGGCGCCAGCGAGGAAGCCACCCACGCCAGCGAGGGGGGGGGCCGACGCGGGACGGCGCCCAGCTGCATCGCTTTAGTCTCTAATCCATAGCGCGCTCTCCTCCGCGCCCGTCGATCCCCCGCCCCCCCAGGCGCGACCGCCCCCTCCAGAAGGGCCCCCCCCCCCGTACCGAATCAGATCGGAAGGCGGCGGCGGGCGGCCAGTCGCGCGCAATTTGGGCGCAAGCCCGCGGCGCCACAGCGCAAGGCAAGAGAAGCCCTCCCAAAGTGCACGAACACAGAGAGGCTGGAATGCCGCCGCTGGCCTCGCACCCCCAAGAACGATGATGAGGCGCCCCGGGCGCCCGTCCGCATCTCGGGCATCTATAGTTGCAATTGAAAAACACGTCCATTTTCGCGCAACCGCATTTCAATCCAGAAACCACCAACCAGGGTATTTCGAAGGACCCACTGGCTCGCATAATCAGGGTCCCTGGACATCTGAGACGACAACAAAAAAAAACTCCATCAAAATCAACTCCATCCTGAACCCCTTTCCCGCGATGGCGCCGGGCGGCGATTCGGCGCAAACCGCCGCGCGCGGCCTTCCTCAGGCAGCTCGCATCTGGGCGGGGAAATCAAGTGCATCAACATGGATGGGCCCCTCCATCAGGAACGACCCACACAATGGGAGAGAGCGGCTGCCAATCAAGATCAATGAGAACTGCAACGGCGGCGGCCACAAGCCCCTCACTCTGCGCCAGATACGGCCCGGCATCACGCAAGCAAATGCATCGTCACGAGCGCTCCACAACCGTGATATCCTCCCTCACCTTGGTCTCAGGGCCCAAACATGGCCCTGACCGCCGGCAAACCAAGAAGCTGCTCGCGCCGAAGACAGCAAGCAGGATGCGCAGACTCAGGCACCAGAGTAGACAACAACGCGGTCGCGCAGGACCCAGGGCGCCACCACCCCGAACACGGCGCAGCCCAGGCACGGACCGAACAGACCTGGCGGGGCGAAGGCCCCAAAACATTGTGGGCTCACGGCGAAACACACAGCGCCCCGGGCTCGCAGAGTTTCGAAGTCCCGCTTCCCTCGCCAGCGAGGCGCTTGACCTTCCTGGCCCGCCTCTGAGTCCCGGCCCCCCGAGTCCGATACATCGCACTGCATCCACGCGTTTGCCAGCCGCGGTTGCCGCCCCAAGGTCGCGGACAGAATAATCTTGGACCCTCCGAGAGACCCCCGCAGCTCGAAGCTGTCTGGGGATCCAAAAACTAACCACACGTTTGCTACTCGAGCTTGCAAGCCTCATCGGGGATACCCAGGCGCCAACTCTCGACGCCACGCGCAAGCTGCGGCCGCCACGTCGCCGGCCCCCCCCTGCGAATCCTGCCAGAATTCGCCAAGAAACCTCGAGTGACCACGACATGGGAGAACCAACGATGCAAACTGTCGAAAATCCGGCGCAAATACGCCGCATTCCACGGCATACTGCGGGAGCACCAGGGGGGCACTCAGCCCGCAACCAACCTTGAAAAACAAGACGGGCGACAGCGCCGCCAAGAAAACGCGCGAATATACCAGTGGATAGCGACCGAGACGTCGCCACCGAACGCAGCGAGCTCGCGGCCACCTCTCGCGGCAAGGCCGCCTGAAGGGCGTCGTTTCCGCGAATGGCGGCGCCCCGAAAAGCTACGCGGCCCCTGCCACACTCGCCCGGGCAAGATCCCCTACTGGTGGTGTAAGCCTTGCAGATCGCATGACACTTGCAGACGGGCCTCTCATCGACCTTAGAGGGGAGTCAAACGCAGGGGGGGTCTGTTCTGGCCACATCAGGGCCTCTCACACACACCTATTGCACAATTTACGAGGGCTGCCAACGCGCCAAGCTAAACTCCCATGAACTCCCTAGTCTGTCAGCTGCCAACAACTCCCGTCGCAGAATCCTCCGAGACAAGCCTACAAGCGGTAACAGCATCGCGATCCTCAACGTCCGGGAGCTCTGGCTGGGCCTCAGCGGCTCGCCTACGCAGCCCAGTCAAAGCTGCCCCTTACTCCGCGTCATTCCCGGGGCCAGCGGTCGAAAAATCATCCAAATCTTGGCCCGATGGGACATTGTCTCGCCGGGTTATCTCAAGGCCCCACACATGGCCAGAAATTGATTCCAGGGGGCCACCTTCATCTGTTTTCATCCACGCGCGAGCCGCATTAGCACCCCTCGGCGGGGCCTTTACTCGCTCGGCCGAGGTCGCGCAAGCGCCAGACCAGGCCCACCCCCCGGCGCGCGGAAGCACTCCGAGACCAGGAAGTCGCTGAAAGCGATGCTGAGCGCTGAGCGGCCCGATTCCACCCGGGCCAACCGAGCCCGCCGCGCACGCGCACGGGCGGACAAACAGGGGGAACACCGCTTGAACCACTGCCCACGGTAAGAAACTCGACGCGACAAATTCCCAGCCATCTCACCGCGCCCGCGCCCCAGAACGACTCGAAGTTCCCGCGGTTTCGGGGGCGGGGCCAGATGCGAAATACGGGGTCCGAATGCCCTTTCCCACGTCCATTGTTCGAAGTCAGCGCAGCGCGCCCAGCGCTTGAAAATCACCCCCCACGCACTGCCCAACGTCGCACCTGCGTTCGCGACGGCGCTCAAAGGCCAAACTCTCAGACGCACGGGGCCACAGCAAGCAGGCGCGAATTAACTCATCCGAGCGGCGCCCCTGGACACGAATAACGAGCCGAACTCCAGGCCCCCGAACCGGCGGGGGCCACCCCCGAAAGACCTTCTCCTGATGACATGGCGAACCCATGGGGGCGCGGGCCCCTGGGCAAAGGGAAAAACTCTGGCCATCTCCCGGCGCAGAGCTTCACGTGGCAACGCCTCCTTCAAACATGCATGCGTCTTAAAGGGCGAGCCCTCGCACTTTGCGCCCCCGAGGAAGGGTGCGAGGGTCTCCGAGGCGACGACGCAATCAATCATCGCGCCTCTCCCTCGCCAGCACGCGCAGACAACGCCTGCAAGAGGGATAGCCCAAGCACGCGTCATCTTGAGAAAGCCGCAGAGCTGCATGAGCTCGATATCGAAAATGAGCCCACAATGAGGACCCACGGGGCTGCCGCGGTTGAGACGAACTCGTTGATCGCCAACATCTTCCGGAGACGTTCCCAAGCGACTCACATGTCAGCAACCATGTACACGACTCCAGCAGCCAAATCAGACCTCTGAGGGCGTAGTTCCAGGAACATCTTGCCATGTCCAGCCCCCACCCCCCAAGCACTACCATCCTGGGCAAGGAATTATATGCATATACACGGACATGTGTGCGTGAACACCAAAAACCGATGCACATGAGCCCCCACCCCATCCACGAGCACATCCTACAGAAGTGCTCTGAGCGGGAAGAAAGTGGGGTCGACACTTCATTGTGACGCATTCCCCCTTGGCATGCTTCAACCTGTGGGTGGCTGGCGCTGACTATGTAACGTACACCAGAAGCTGCGACACAGAGCGCTCCAATGCGTGGAAATACAGAACGGAGAAGAGCTGCCATCACTCACGGTGATCAATGTCCGACACCAGCATCTGGGCCACCGTGGCGCGGACAAGGCTGGCGAAGCCGGCGGAGGCAGAGTCGTTGACGGTGCTGATGCGTTTCGACTGCAGTGCCTTGGACTTCTCGACCATGAGGTTCTCCATCTTGCAGAGGTCGTCAGGGCCGAGAACTTCACCACAAACTCTCTTACATAACACCTTAAACTCATTGGCCTGCTGAGGACGAAGATCGCAAGCGTCGCTGCAAGCATCACTGTCACCATCCAAGTCAACCGTCGTGCACTGGGCAAGCTTCTTGGGCATGGCTTGGAGCTGCCTGCAGCAGGAGCCCGAGGGGGGGGTGCGGCTCCTCTACAAATTTGCGCAGGCCAGCCTCGTCCAGCTCGTGCAAGTTGGTGACGTCCACGGGTTCCGTCCGAACATCTCGATCACGAGGAACTCCCCCCCAGGAACTTGGCGAGCACCTCCACCTGCTTGGCCACCAACCTCAGCACCTTCACCAGGTACTGCTTCAAGCCCAGGCGGAGCACGATTGGCATCCGCGGCATTTGCACGAGCCTCATGCTGCTGGATGCGTTTGTGTTCGACCCAGGCGTCCTCATTGAAGTGCTGGACGTCCGAGCCGGCCTGGGCCGTGTCCTTGGTGGCCTTCTCGGGGGCAGCTAAGTCCACGGACAGCTCCTCTTTGACCTCCACCAGCTGCTCCTACAGTTTCTGCGCGTTCAATGTCCCATGATGTACTTCTTGGGATGCCAAGCGCACCGCCTTCGCCGCCTCCTCCACAACGCGGGTAAGGCGTGTGCGCTCGGCGCTGGCCGCTTTCTGCAGCCTGACCGTCGTCCACTCTGGCTCCTCTGTAGCAGGAGCTTCTTCCACGAACTGAGCGAGACCCTCTCGAAGGTCGGGTTTGGCTGCCAGCAACAATGCAGCAGCAGCAGCAGCAGCAGCAGCAGCACGAAGAGCGGCATCACCATCTTCAACAGACACACCACCTTCAGGACCAGGGCGAGAAGCATTGCGACGGGGGCCACTTCCCCGCTGCTCGCTGGAACTGATGTGCTCTCCCCCGCCCTTCGGGCAACAGAAAAAGGAGAAGCAGGAGGAGGTGGAGATGAGATGAGAAGGAGATTTCTGGGACGCGCAGGGACATACTAATAATATATGTCCTCATTGGAGGCGCGCGTCCATTCCGAACATATAGTATGCCCATCTTGTAGTATATCGTTTCCCGAGCGGTGTGACCAGAAAGCGCCCGCCACGACGCATATACTATAAGATTTCTCGGTGCGCGCGTCGCCCCTAGGAGGGCGACGCACATATAGTATAAGTATGTTGGGGTGGCACCGAGAGGAGGGAAAAGGAGCAGGAGCAGCAGGAGGAGAAGAGGGAGGAGGAACAGAGGCGAGCAGACGGCCTGCCAGCCGCCTACACGTAGTCGGAGCCAGCGACGCCCTCCCTGGCCTGGACGGGCCTCGGCGTCAGCCAGTGCTGCTCCGCGGCGGCACTCTCGGCCGCCTGGCACGCGCCATCCTCGGGGCGCGACAAGGGGGAATGATCTATATAAGGAGAGAGGCTGGAGGACGAGGAGGAGGAGGAGGAGGAGGAGGAGGAGGAGGAGGAGGAAGACCACTCTTGGGACCATTCTTTGGGGCGGGGGGTCGCGCGTCGCGCCCCCAGACCCGCCGCCTCCTCCGAGCACTCTCCTGAGGCGCCCGTCGGGCGCGGCACGCGGCCGACCTCAGGCCTCCATCTGGGGGGGGGAGGCTGTTCGTCGGGTTCTCTTGCGCAGCTCTGCTCTGGAGCTCCCCCCCCCTCGCCCCCCCCCCCCCCCCCCCCCCGCCCCTGCCCCCTCACCACGGCCACGATGGCCCCACAAGAACGCCCAGGCGGCCCCAAGGACCCCCCGCCCCTCCCCACCCCGCACGGCCTGGCCCTTGCTCGCCCTCCCTCGCGCAGGAGCCACGGCATGCGTGCCACTTGCTATTTTCGGGTGAGGGTCGTTACCCGGGGGTGGGGGCGCGGGTAAGGGTAATGATTGGGCGGGGTGGGGCACGTCGGGGCGGTGGTGCGCTGCGAACGCCATAGTGCGCACGCGAACACCAGCGTGTGAGGAGCGACCTCCTCGAAAAGGAAGGATAGCAGGCAATTCCTGGGAGATCTTCGTCCGAACGACCCAAGGCATATTAAGCTCGATGAAGGATCACTGAGCTGGACTGGGCGGGAGAAGGCCCAGGATTGAGCTGGATTAAGCGGGATTCAGCCAGACTGAGCGGGAGCGGGCCAGATGAAGCGGGAGTAAGCGAGATTAGGCCACTGCCCGACCAGGGATATACTAGCGCCAATTCTGAGTTTAACCTGACAAAGCGTGCACCCTAAAGGAGGGGGGTCACCGAGGGCCAAAGCGAGGGGCTGGCCGCGGGATCTTGATCGGTACAATCGAAGTTGGTGCGGAAAGAATGGACGAAGGCCGTCAGCAGTTCTTGCCCAACTTGAACAGGCATCGGCGACATCGGTGTTGGTGCCGCCGCGGACGTGGTTCATGTGAGGCCAAAGGTCGCCTGTCCAACAGCGGCCACTGCCAATGTTGGACTACATTTGCTGTAGGGCAACTGGCCCAATGTCTTTCGTACCCATTCCGAGCGCACCAAATTGCCGTCCAAGCCTTCTTCTTATTTGCACCATCACAAAACAGGTTCTAAGAACAATACAAAGTTTGTTGAACCTACAGCCGACGTCTCAAGGCAGGACTGTCTCACCAATATATGCCCTTATAGCGTGGGAGCCGCACAAGGTTGGCATAGCATTTTGTTGTGGGCCTACCGGCAGATCAGGACGCCACCAACTATACTCCTACATCGATCCTGGCCAGGCCACTCTTGGGCGAAATATCAATGTGTTCGCCCTCCCGGCTTGGCCCTATCATTGGCCCAGACAGTCCAGAATCGGTGTTGGTGTATACTTTGCGCCCGCCGACCGGATCCAACAGGAGAATTGTGCGTCTCTGCCCCGCCAGACGAGGCTTGCAAAAACACGAGAGGAGCGCACCTCCGTACGGCAGAATCGCGTCGTGACGACGAAGGGCGATGGGTTCTGACCGCTGCGTGGATCGGTCGTTCGACCCTTGAGCGATCCCGGCTTTGCGGCAGCGAGGCTCGCTCAATGGCGGCCGACGCTGGACCGGCGGCTGCCTTCAACCCTGAACGCCCCGAGCGCGTCGCCCGAGACCGGACCTCCTCGACCCTCGAACCTGCTCGACCCGAGCACCCCCGATCCCCCGAGCATCCCCGAGCACCCGACCCCCGAGCATCCGTGACCCCCGAGCACCCGAGACCCTCGAGCATGACCACCGAGCATCCCCGATCCCTCGAGCACCACGGGGAATCCACGATCCCTGAGCCCCAAATTCGCGCATCGCGCCCCGCCATGCGCGACGCGCGATCATCTTCGCGCCTTCGTGCCGTCATCTTGGAGAAGGGCAATCGCTCTGGCGACGAGCGACGTGCGATATCTTCGCGCCCCCGCGCGTGACGCAGGCTTCCCCACACCAGGGGAACAAACAACAACATATACATCAAAACTCGGAGGTCCGCGCGGATTTCTCGGACGGGCGCTGGGCACCCCTCCCTGGCGCGCGGAGAGCGCCAAGGGCTGCGCTGGAAGCGCCGCCACGAGGCTCCAGCGCCGATCCGAAGAATGCGCACGGACCGACATCCTTATGTTTATGTTCGGAGGTGAGGGGGTGAGATCGAAGTGGAACGGAGAGCCCCCTACCGGGAAATCGGTTTCGGTTTCGTGTTCGTGCGTGCCGTGCGTGCGGGCGAGGCGAAGCTGCGTGGGCGGGCGAGAAATGTCCCGCCTCTGGCCGAGGCGCGACCGTACCAAGAGCCTCCCTTCCGGCAACCGGTGCCGCGCGGTGTCCCGCCGGTGTCCCGCAGGTGTCCCGTCGGTGTCCCTATGATGATGAAGATGATGATGATGATGATGATGATGATGATGATGATGATGATGATGATGATGAAAATGATGATGATGATGATGATGATGATGATGATGATGATGATGATCATGATGATGATGCTGATGATCATGATGATGATGATGATGATGATGACGATGACGATGTTGATGATGATGATGATGATGATGGCCATGGTGGTGATGATGATGGTGTCCCGATGATGATGAGATTGGTGATACTGATGTTGCTGATGATGGTGATGGTGTCCCGATGCTGATGACGATGATGTTGATGATCCCGATGATGTTGATGATGATGATGAGATGATGGGATGATGATGATGATGGTAATGATTATGATTATGATGATGATGGTATCCCGATGAAGATGATGATCAGGTTGATGATGATGCTGCTGATGATGATGATGGTGTCCCGATGATGGTGATGATGTTGATGCTGACGATAAGGATGATGGTGTCCCGATGATGATGATGATGATGAGGATGAAGATGAGGTGATGATGGTGATTTCGATGCTGGTGGCCTGATGATGATGATGATGCTGATGTTGATGATGATGGTGTCCCGATGATGATGATGATGGTGATGATGATGGAAACGATGATGATGGTGTCCCGATGATGATGATGTTGATGATGATGTTGCTGATGATGAGGATGGTGCCCCGATGATGATGATGATGATGTTCATGATGATGAGATGATGATGATGATGATGTTCCGATGATGATTATGATGATGACACGATGATGATGATGACGATGATGGTGGCGATGATGGTGTCCCGATAATGGTGATGACGGTGATGATGATGATGATGGCCATGATGGTAACGATGATGGTGTCCCGATGATGATGATGATGTTGAGGATGCTGATGTTGCTGATGATGATGATGGTGTCCCGATGATGATGATGATGATGATGATGAT